ATATTAGGGGTAGGGTAAATGACAATGAGTAAGAAAATTTTCTCATTGTCGAATTTTGAGTAGATACAAAAAAATGATGTATTTGTTGTTTAAAGTATACTCGTTACAAAAATATTGGGAGTTAAGTTCCCCGAATCGATGCCTGTGCATAAGTAGCAAACAATATGATCACCACAGATAGAATATTTGTGGTGATTTAAAAGAGATAGCTTTATTATTGAGATTATAGCTGGGTTTCACGTGAAGTTCGATTGCATTCTGTGTCTGTGGGACAGCAGGGACTGTAGGAAGCACGGCATCAAACAACAATAGTCAAAGAGAGAAGCACTCACTGTTGAAGAGAAAAACGTACTAAATGAGCCACTTGTCTTCTCGGAGAAAAATCTACCTTTCACCTCTATACGTAAAACTACCTGGCTTGATGAAGCAATTTGTGAAAGCCGTGGATCGTAATAACAAATCAATAAACTTAAATAAGTTCCTACAGTTAGTGACGCTAAGATCAGGGTTGGCATATTTGTTGGTTCACAAATACTGGAACTAATGGAAGATCCTGCATTCGAAGGTGCTTGAATGAAATAGAAATAGCTGTGTTGAAATTCCTTAAGAACGTTGTAAACAATTTTCTTGGTACAGTAGGGCGAATAACTATGAAGTTATTCTAGTTATGAAGTTAGGGAACTACTGAAGAACTATATGCAACTAGGGTGTTGCACGTCTTTTAAGATTTATTTCTTGGACTCACATCTGTATTTCTTTCCCATCTAGGTTCTGTAAGTGACGAGCGCAGCGAAAGATTCCTTAAAAAATTATTGACTATATAAAGCCATTATCAAGGTGTATGGAGTCTAAAAATCCTGATTGACTATTGTTGGACCCTGTCGTATGTTTCCGGTAAACACATCAGGAAATCCATAAAAGAATACACTTTAGATGAGTATATAATCATTTCGACTTGTGTTTTCATTAGAAATGATTTTTGGCAGCAGAAAGAAATACTCATTACTCGAAAACTAAGCCCGATAAAAAAAAAAAATAGATTTATAGATTTGAAGTAAATGTTAAATTTCAATACGATCCAGCTATGATTTCCTTTCAATAGTCATTAAGTTCCATTTTGTTCCTCGGTGTAATTAGTCAAATCCCAAGAAATTATCATGATTCAGTTATAATAAACATTAAATAATTATCAAAATTAAATTTTATAGAGAACTGAGCAATCGACTCAATTTCGCAAACTGAGTAAAAAATTACCGTATTTCAAAAACGGAATATAAGAAACTACAGTAAATGTGATATCGTATTTCCAACAAACAAAAACATGCTCTTATAGATGGTGAAAAATCGGCATTATATTCCGCAAAGTACCTAAAATGCTTATTATTTTTTTCGAAAAATAACCTTAAATTATAGGAAACTTTTTTATTTTTGATTTTTGTTTTTAACAAGTCGAAATGCCCAATGCAGGCATCGGGACATACTAAATTACAAATAAAAATAATAATATACTGANCTACAAGTGCGCTGCTAGAGTTATGACACTCAAAAATTGCGCAGAGGTTTTACGATCGCAGCGCCACAAATCCCGTAGTGGTGAGTTTGAAATTAAAGTTTTTATCCACACAGATTTCTTGCCCATGCTCGAAAACGTCAGCATTCAAACTTTGGTTGAGTTTGGACTGCTTTAAATTAAAATACTTCTAATCAAAGCTAGACAGCTTTGATTAGAAGTATTTTAATTACGATCTCCCTATATTATACCGATAACTGTAATAGTTATAGATATTATATTTGGTATAGGATTGTAAACAAATCGGTAATTCTGCATAATCATACAGCATTATTAATTAAAGATAGCAATTACACCATGTCTATATATACAGTATATATTTATCGATAATCAAAGTTCAGTGAACTTGTAACAATACGATTTATTTAAGATTAAACAAATTTATAATAGATCTTAAATATTTTTAATTATAGCTTATAAATACTGTTACTAAATTCTTGAAATACCAATTAGTTTTCTGTCTATAAAACTCTTAGTAAATACAATGCATAGTTTTCTGAATTATCTTATCATCTTTACCTTCAAAAACTATAATCAAAATATAATCATGCACAGTAACAGACTGTAATAGTATCATCATTTGTAAAAATTTTATCTGGCATATCCAAAATTAGCAAAAATGATCTTGGATTGCTAATTACATGTATAATCTTCATACACGATGAGAGATTAATTTTAATTTTAGTTATCTTTTGTTACAGTCGTATCGAAAAGCAAGATTATATTACAGGTATTATAATTTATACAGATACTGTATCTGTGAAGATCTAGGAGATGAACATAAAAAGGCAAATAATTCTATTCCAAAATTTACACCACTTAGATCACACGTATTAACTAATAAAGATTCTTTTATTTATAAAAAAAATAATAAAAAGTTAATTTTATTAAATTTATTTATCTTTTTTATATTTATAAAAAGGCGTGTTATCGTTTATAACATCGTCTTCAAATTAAGCGTGGCGCCATCTATGAATGTTGTTTGACATAAATAAAATTCTATTTGATATATTTCTGATTATTTTTTTTATCGAACAGTTCAGTATTTCATTCTATTAATTCGTATTAATAATAATTTATTTTTTAATTTTTTTTACTTATGATAATTCTGACAGGAAAATTTCTTCAGTTTTTCATTGAAATTATTACAAACAAGTCGAAAAGCCCTATGCAGGCATCGGGACATACTAAATTACAAATAAAAATAATAATATACTGACTATTATACTGTAAAAATATAAAATAATGTATATTGTTAATTTAAATAATTGTTAGGGGTGTCCTAGTGGTCATTTTTGGCATACAGTGACAGAAAGAAAGAAAGAATCCGGTTTTTCAGCTTTATATAGTATAGATGATTTAAAACAGTAAATTTATATTAAATATAAATGAAGAAATGTTACACATTATTTATAAATTTTTAGAATAAGCATAAGCAAATTTGCAAGTTAAAATAATTCAGCATTCTTCCTTCGTTCATTATCGTTACAATACTGCAAAAAATTATATGAATATTGGTTATTAAATCATAAATAAATATGAATATCAAATAAAATACCAGTTTTTAAATATTTTATTAGATTTAAATTAAATAAACATTTAACTTGATTTTTTGCAATATAATTCAAGTATGCAGTAGAATTTTCCTATTTCCCATACTAGCGGTTTGATATTTGCAAACATTTTACGTATTCGCAAAAATAAAATTCAGTGATTTGCGGAACGATTAATTACAATAATGAAACAACAAATAAAGAAAATATTAAATGATTTTTAATCCTTTTTATCCTAAACATTTTCTACCGCAATTTGTATTCTCTACTGTAACAGTGGATAGCACTAATTGGCTGTATTCACAACCAAGATTCAAGTGTTAAATTTAGAAGAAAACTAGTAATGTATTTTACAAGTAAATTGTAATTAATGTTTCTTTTTCTTACGAAAATCTAAAAACAGGCTCTAATTGCAAGATGTAAAAAAAAAAGACAAAGAAATAGTTATTTGACAAAAATAAAGTGCCAGATCGTTTTCAGAAAAGTCAGTAGATGTTCTTCACACGTTCTTCGTAAATTAATCAAATATAAATTAAGTAAAAGAGATAAAGATTAGAAATGCAGTAACATCCATCCAATGAACATAAATTGCAGTAATAGTCAAAAATATTAATAGCATTTGGACTAAGAATCAATCATAGAAGAATAGCTCTATTGAGTTGCTTTATTATCCAAGAAAAATTGAAATATATGTTTGATTATTTTAGTTGAAATACTAATCAAGATGTTTTTAAATTTATACGATGATTCCGAAGGGTGATTTGAAAAATTTAAGAAAAGAAATGTTTTGCATTATGTAACGATTATAGACGAGAAATCTAATACAGTATTTAATAAAAAAGTTAAATAATGTGACTTAGATTGTTAGAGGGAACTATTGTTTAACTTTCAAGAAAAGGGAAAAAAGGCGAAAAGTACATTCATTTTTTTCAAGAATAAATAAGTACTGTACTGTACATGCAAGCTAAAAATAAAAAATTATTTGTATAAAAACGTGATTTTATTTTCTAGTCATATATTTTTAGTCCCTAACCTTATTTTTTTCAAGTAATTTTTTGTATTTGAGAAAATTTTGCAGAACTTAATCCGCGAGTAAGAAGCTTTTACCGCAGTACTCATACACTTAACTTTTTGTATTTTTTTCTAATTTTTTTATTTTTATTAATTATATTTATTTTAATAATTTTAGTTATACAATTTAAATTATTATTTGTTCGATCTGTGTAGGTATTATTATTGGAATTGTACAAATAAATGGGCATACAATAATTTGTGAATTGTAAGTAAACTATTAGTATAATACTTTGTGTATATAATACTATGTTTATAGAAGTTCGTTGAATTCGATTTTTCTGCGTGTACAAACATACAAGAAAATTTTACTTTCTGCCATGAGGGTGGCTGTGATCTGTTATAAATGTGATTAGAATGGGTGAGGGATGGAGAACGAAGAGCGGATTTGATTTAAGTTTGCTCTTTAAACATATGACGTCAAATCTGCGATTTTTAATGGAATTTAGAGATACTAGACTTAGTTTCAGACACTATGATTTTGTAGATAAGCTACAAAATCATAGTGTCTGAAATTGCATTTATTTTTATAAAGTTACAAATTTTATTCTGTGTGTAGCGTCTTTGCAATCAAAACAATAATTCTGGTAGACGATCAAACAACAATTATTGCCAATTTATTGCTATTATATATTATATTATATTAACTACCAAAATTATTGTTTGGATTGCAAAGACGTTACACAGAATTTGAAAATACAGCAACCATATCTTCTATATTACAAATTTTAGTTTTTGAATAAATTAATCAACGTTTTATTTTTAAATTATTGTCTTTTTCTGAAGTATTAAGTATAGAATATTTCCATTAAAACGACTGATAGGATATACGGTACGAGAAAACAAATAGATAATATAGTTTGATTTTAAAAACGTATCATTTGTTTTCTAGCTCCCACGATGAGAGCAATGCCTCCTATGCTAAATAAAGATGGTGCAATGCCCTTTTACAAGAATTTAACTGTCCTCCTTCCTGTTGTGATATCTGTTATTGTGCTTCTTATTGTCATAATCACCGTAATCGTTTGTTTACGTCGCCAAACGGATGATAGCAGCAGAGGAAGTAGCGGAGGTAAGTAATCTTCCTAGAAACGGTCACAAAGAATTTTCGCGTATTACATTTATTATATTACAATTGATTGTCGTAGATGGTCAAGGTAGAAAAGAACGGAACAGTGATCAAATGGGATTGACAGAATTTTCTCAAAAAGGCTTAAAAGACAACGATCCCTATGGCAAGACTTGGTATTATTCTTCACCCAAGAGAAAGCTTGGTGTCGAATCCAGTTTGCATCGCAGTAGGTATACAAGCGCAGACTATGAAAAGGGAATAGTATTTTAAACATTGATGTAACTAAATTTCTATTGATGATCCAATTTTTACTGAAAACATGTATATGAATGTTTGGACAATAATAATGGAAACTATCCGAAGAATAAAATGGATGTTTTACTTATTATCACTTATTTTGACGAAGTCAATTTATTTCTGCAAAATGTTTAAAAAACAAATATCATATTAAGAATTTTTTACAGCAAACTTTTTGCATAAAAAGTTTTATTTTGAAATTTAAATAATTTACATAAACAATTTTAAATATTCTGACATTGCAATATGGATAGTAATGAAAATTTGCCACATCAAGTTAAGCAACGATAAACGGTTATATACGATTATATCGTTGCAATATAAAATTTATCTTTGAATTTTTTTATTTTCAAGTTCGTCAATTGACCAGAGATACGATTAAAATCATGATTTGAGTAACAGAAAGCTAAACGGATATTTAGATTCATTTTATCGTGATACAAGGCTTGATTTTATTCATAAAAATATTAAAATATCAAAATTGTAAATGCGACGAATCATATTCCCTTATCACAATTCATAAGATTTCGAGCCATTATTTTGTTTAATTTTTTTTATAAACACCATTTAAAGTTATCACGTATTTTTTTTACTTTAAATAAAGGTAAGTGTAGTGCATATGTAATTTTAAAATACGTAAGAGGTAAGTGCTAAATTTAGATAATATAAATTTCGATATGTATTTTATTATTTATAGTTAAAATTTCGGATGAAATCTTAAAAATGAATTAGTAAGTTTCTTTTTACGAGATAATTAACGTGAGATGATTTATTCGGAGTGTTACAGACTGGAGTCTTTATATTTGCGCAGACGGTTCTGAAGAAAACCACGAATATGCGGAACCATATGCCACTGTCCCAACGCCAAGATCTCTGATAGAAGATTCTGATTGCAGAAGTGTTCTTTCCTTAATGGTAATGTACTCCTTTTGAATTTACATACTATACATTATGTTAAATTGACGAAAATAATAGATTTTTGAAAAATTGTAGACTGAAACATATAATATTAGACCCTGAAAAATTTATAAATGAATCAAATAAAGGGGGTCCAGCTCAGACCCTCGTTGATGCTTTTACGAAACAATATAAATAAAGAGCTGGCACGCTAAACGGGTGATATCTAATATTTTTAAAATCGCATTTTTTTATGTTGCTATTCCCTATTGCGATTTGTTCTTTTTGAACAGTTGGATATCAAGGATTTTTGCAATATGAGTGCTGCTGAAGACAGATTAGTGAGGGCAAGGCTCCTGTCGTGTTTTAGAGAATGATATTCAATTACTTCAGAATTACTTTAATTACCTAATCATGCCGAATTGAAGTCATGCGGTATGCGTTATTATATTAATATTTACTTTAAAAAACTGAGTGTTTTGGTAAAGGAGTATACAGTACCATAAGCACCTCATTGGATTGCATCTGTTTATGAAACAGCTAAAACAAGTAATATATCTGTTGTTACTAGCACTGTATATATTGTTAATCTATGCAAATTAGGTTGAATATAAGCAACATCTCCATGTGAAACAAGTTATATCTAAACAGCCAATGGAACTGCTATGTACACGAAAGCGTCAACTCAACAGTCATGGCTGCATCTATGGTGAGAGAAGATTTAACATTTTTTTTTTTTTTTGTCGATAATGGAAATAAATAAACTAAAAGTTTTTAAAAAGACAGAAACAAAAGTAAACAGAAAGAAAAAGATAAAATATATAATTATTCTTTGAAGCAGAATGCGCTTGATACCGCCTTATCAGCACCAAAGTGCGTCATAAACCATCATTTCGATATTGCAAATTGATAAAAGATGATATATTGGCCTTTCAACGTAAACTTTTTATCCATAGAAGTAAAGTTTCACTTTCCACTTTTACACAATTCTGAGATAAACAGTTTTTCCTTGTGCAATTCTAGTTTTATTTTGAAAAAATATTACGGTAGCTTTTTCCTGTTTTACTTTTTTCCTTTCCTCTCCCATGCATTTGAAAACTTAATTTAAATTTATAGCAAAAATAAACAGTAAAGCTGACAAAACAAAAAGAAAAAAAACTGATAGAAAGTTCTATTTTCATTTTTTAAAACAAGACATGTGTTTTTTATTGTTAAAAAGTCGTTATTGTTTCAAAGTGAGTTAAACTTACTATTGTTAACTAAACAAAACAAGTTATATCACAGTAATTTATTTTCATAATTGAAAATTAAGGCAATACAAACAAAGTTCGAGTCATTTTTCCTCTTTAAATCCTTTTCATTCCGTCTAGGAACCACAAACAGTAGGCGACTTGAAGTAAAACTTCTAAAAATAACAGGCAAACACTATCAAAATTTTCCATTCATTAAAAATGATCTCGACGTCGACCCCTTTATGTAGGCTACGACGTCTACAAACATTTATTTATTAATTTTCAATTATGAAAATAAATTACTGTTAAAATAATCTTGGGCTTATGTATAATTAAATTATATCTTATTTACCCTACAAAATCCAAACTACTTTTCAAAACCAAGAGTGAATCACGCGATCCTGGATAAGGGAAGAAATAATTTTTGTCACCATCGAGTTTAAACTGATGGTTCAAAAAAAAAAAAAAAAAAACGAAGATGCCTTCCATTGGAAGAGATTATTTGGCAACGATTTTCAAAAAGATAGTTCGAACGTAGAACGCAGACACGCGATTAGATTGGGGAGAATTTACGGAGTTTTGTTTGAGAAAAAGTTTTATAAGTATGATTTTTCCGGGGTAGAACACCAGTAATAGGCAATAGTCTATAATAGAAGTAGAGACATAGTAGTGAAACCTATCCCTGCATTCCTTCTTTCTTAGAAGATCAGGGAGTATTTCCTTAACGAAGTGTTTATATCATTTAAATTGTACGGACATATATCTGTGTACCTCGTTTTCAGTATGTCTTTATGTATTCAATAAATTTTATTGTGTTTAACATATGAATTGTCTTATTTCAAAGATAAAATCAAACTTATGACGTCGCCGAGCAATAGTTTGGAAATCGTTTAAAAATTTAATGGAAGTGCAAAATATCACTCAATATAAAATTATTTAATTAATTACCTAAATTTTAACTTCGAGAGAGTATTTCGTTTGTCTACGTAATTGTAAAGTGTGCACACTTACGCTTCTGTAAGAAATTATGATTTTATTCAAATTAGTCAAAGTTGATATAGCTTGTTTTGAATGCCAGCTCTTTAAATACGAGAATTTTTTTTATTATACTGTATAAGAAAAATATTATTTTGTTTTTGTGTATGTTCTGACTAGGAGTGATTTCTGTGACTATTTTTGTAATTCCTTTAATTTTTTGTAACTTTTTCATTTTTGTTAGTTTTTTATTACAATTAATAATCTTTATTTTGTTTAAAATTTTTAGATTATTTTTGGAAAGTTGTTTTTCCTTTTTCGTTCGACATTAAATTTGCTTACGACAAATGAAAGTTTTAATCTACCTATCAACGATATTTTCTATCAAGTTGAAAAGTTTATTTAAATTCCTACATCATCATGAATATGGGGGGTTAATTTTATTAAATAACAAGACACCAGAAAACCCACACAAATGCAAAAAAAAAAAAAACAGGCAATATTCGGTATCTAGTTTATTTCTGTTGTCTTCTGCATGTACTGTACAGTATGTGTAAAAGCTGCATTATAATGTTTATTATAATGTGCATTATAAAAGCATGTTAAACATTAAAAGGGATTCAAATTAAACGTGTATTACCGCCATGGTTTAGTTGAAGTAACGTGAGCAGTTCTAACAGTTCGGCAGAAAACGTTTATTACTTATTGGTTTATAACAAATCTTCTAATTTACTCGCGATAACTGTTGATTATTTTGAACATGCAGTGGATACTCCTACGTGTCAAACAGCTAATTAATTAAGCAAACCAATATGAAACAATATGTTTCTAGTTTGTTTCATGTGAAACAGATTGTCATTGCTTTGCTTACTTATCTGCTTACCACTTAGAATCACCAAATCGCCGTCAATCATAATATGTTCTGTAAAAATAGTAAAAAGTCAATCGAAAAAATTGAAGAAATGTGATGTTTTATACAATAAAAATGTAACGATTTATTTGTAACTTTTTATATATAAAGCTAAGTCTACATAAAGACACGCTGAGTTTTTTTATAATGAAAAACTAAGCAAGTTATCTTCCGGAATAAAAAGAAATGTTAGTGATTGATCTCTCAGTAAAATTCTGTTGTAATATTAAACAGGCCTATACAACAAGTAAAGGTTAATAAATTCTCACTGTCATCCATCTACCTGTCCGTTCGTTTGTCTGTGTTTCCTTAAATTCCAAAACAGCGTTAGATAGATGAACATCGAGAACAGATAGGGACATCTTAGGAGCAGGAGGCCCCGATTAACTATATAGGAACCACTGACAAATCAAACGTCATGTTATTTCAATTCAAAAAATTTTTCCCTTAAAGGTGTTAGATTACTAGCACGACTCGATTGCTAACGGAAAAGTATGATATACAGGGGCAAGCCACTACTAATTTGAGGTGGAGACGATATATTTTAAATGAAATAAATTAAAAATATGATCAAAAATTGCAGCCTGGCATGGTGACGATGTCACAATAAATAATTGCTCGTTCTTTTTAATTTTCACCACGAAGCTTAAAATTTGTTGCTTTTCAAACTCGTGACCTATTAAATAATTCCTTATTTATCTGAAAAATCTTTATTGTCGAACTTCATGCAAAATGCATTTCGGGTTTTTGGCCTTAATCAGTTGTCAAAATTCTGACATATCTACAATTATACAATAATTCAATTATATAAGGAAATTCTTATAAAGAATTTATACATACACCATGTAGATTTTAAGATATTTCTTGATTCTATATTAATCGTGACAGACATTTCGTATAATCAGTATTAAGTCATGTCTCATTAAAATTTAATATATCGTCAAACTTATCTAGTAATATGTTAATGAAGTTAAAATTAAATATTAAAGTTTATGAATAGCAATTTGGGTCTGAAATATAACATTATCCATATATACATTGAAGTTTTTTCAATGTATTTTATTGATAATGTACCTTGCCATTTTATAAAAATGTTAGAATAAACAGTTATAATTGAAGAAAATCTGTTCTTATAATCAATGTTATCAAAATCATATATTAGAAAAGCTTTCAAGACATTCAAAATAAACATTTGAATAGCAAATCAATTTCTTTAATTTTTTTTAAAAAAATTTTCTTAGTTTATTATAAATAATTTAAACCAAGAAATTAGTAAATTAAATAAAGAACCAGAAGATAAATAAATACTTAAAAGATACATTCAAAAACTTAATTACACGAAAAAAGTAACTTATAAATCTGCTTAGATAGATTTTTATGAATGAACGTATTTATTAATATTTATATTATCTTTTTTTCAAAGGATATAATTTATTCGTGAATTAAATAAAAATTTATCATCAACAAGTTAAATTTATAACTTTTTAATGTTAATGAGAAATTTGAAAGAAAACACTATGATATGCAAGTATAATAAGAATATTAAATAATATTAATAGATGAAAATATGAAAAGTAAACAATGAAAATACTTTAAAGAATAAAGTCGATGAAACATCTAAAATATTGATTAAAAATTACTTTTTTTTGACATTTTAAACCTTTCGATCAGTTTCTACCAGACAGCATTTGTGAGTTATAACATCGATCATGATTTTGATACCATTATTCGTATAATTAAATAAGAAGATTGATGTCTGAGATTATCAGTACTCCTAAGTTTCTTATAAATTTTTCAAAAGTTTATACTTAGAGAACTTGAGAGAGAGAATTTTAAATTCAGAAATAGTTTCAGTAGTGGACAGCTCAGGTGGCGGTGTGTAAAATCGATCATCTTTCCAC